ACTCTACTAGAATCCCTCTGATATAAGTGATTGGAAACTAGTTCAAATCTGTAACACAACGGATGTTCAGTGTGCATAAACCACTTTCAAAATGGCCAAAATTAGTTTAAAATAAACCTGGATAGATGTAGTGTTAGACTTAACCAATTTAGGTTAAATTGGTTTACTGAACTTCTGTCCCAGATCTCCTCCAGATTCAAGTTAACTCACAGTCCCCCAGAATCCCAGGATGCTTTGCATGGCAGGTGGGCTAGCCAGGGCCCAAGCTGTCCACTCCAGAAGAGCAGGGACGCATGCTCTAGCACCCCACATTCTGGCCTCAGCCACTGCAGGCAAGTGGTTGTGTTTCTGGAATCAAAAATGAATGTCTGTTCATTGGTTTACCAGTTCAATCTATGCAGCTCAAATTAACCTGCAAAAATGTTATCGATTCAGCCGCAGGCTTTTTGATGATCTGTTCTTAGCCCATGAGGTGCTTTTGTATATGTGCTTTTCCAGCTTTGAAGGCTGGTTGAAGAAAGGGAAGAAGGGAGGTGAGCCATGACATCTTCTGCTGAAGCACCCTGGAGCAACAGAGTTCAGCATGAGGCACATAGAGTCCCTTTGGAGGAAGTGGATGGGTGGAGAAAGTGCAGTCTATCCTGAGCTGTTGAAGGACCTGCCCAAACTCTATCACCCTATGTATGGCATGCCACATGTTAAAGCCTGCTAGAAACCAATTACAAAATGTTCTACATTTTTCAAGCAACATTTTTATGACTGGTTATCCACTTTTTTATTTGCCATGTCTAAATGTATTGTGCAGTCAACCAGTTAATACTACAACAAATGTAACAAGTCAATTTTGTTTTAAGATTCACTCAAAAGCAACAAGATGGAGGACCCACCCACCTTTTGTATTAACAGTTTTCAGAAACTCGAGTGGGGCAAAATAGAATTCCACTTAGGTGCCCATGCCTACTTGCATGCCTAATAGTTGGAGCAGAATCTTGTTTTTTTCCCCATAAACCACAGCTTTCCACCACCTGACCTAAAGGAGAGTTTGTTTTGTGAATAGTACTGGCATATCCCTTATCTTCTCTACAGGCAAGCCAACAATGTTCAGCCTTTCATATACACACAGCAAGTGCACAAAAGAACTTTTAAGAATGAGAGCTTTTATGTTTATATGATCCTTGGTATTTTTAGTAAGACTATCAGCAGAGATGCAGTTCTGGTGGTATTTTTTTTTCCCTCATGAACCTGTTTCATGAAGCCACCAAATAATTCTCAAGTAGTAATGTTTTTGGTAGGAGGCAGAGAAAGGAATATACAAGCCAATGAACAAAGGGAGAGAAGTATGTGTACAACATTATTACCGGTCATAAGGATTATACAGGTTTCCTATTACATTTTTAAATGATAATAAGTTAAAACACATTGTTGCTGTCCCAGAAACAATAGACAAGCTTTCATTGACTTCAGTGGGGACAGCCTTGGGTTCATAAAATAATCTGTCCATTATTCTGTATCTACTGTATCTCACTACCTTTTTTATTTCCTCAGATGAGACTAAAACTGCTTCCAAAACAAAAACCAATAAAAATCAGCTGCTCCAAAATTCCTGTCTCAGTCCTCAGGCTATACTATCTGATACCTAAAGCTGCTTAAAATTGCTTGCCAGAGATGAGAGCTGTGGTGGTGTTGATGATCCCTGTCTTGAAAAGCCTTTTGAGATAAGAGTCAAATTCAACTTCTGCTAAATCTGCCTGTGAACTTTGGGTATAATCTCTATAAAGCTAAGACTAATCTTACCAAGACTTGCTGGGTCTCCTTCCCATAACAATGTTTTACATTTTAACACCTTCAAGAGCCTACCAAGAAGGTTGTAAATACCTCTTATTTCTTAAACTCTCCTCAAACTGGCATTCAAAAACATATACCACACACTTCTGGACTAATTTAAATATTTCCTCATTGTGAACTCCATCTGTGCCAACTCATCCAAATTACAATCATCAACTCCTTGGTTTACAATCTTTGCTAATGTTGGTGTCAAATATTTCTTGATAAGAAGGATAACCATGCTGAATACTGGCATTTTGACATTACCATACCACTTCAAGATTTACCAATGTGGGATGTCTCTTGTTTCTGTTTTAGACTGTGAGTTTCTTAACTCAAGGTCTCTGGGACAGATTTCAGCTGGCGAAAAACAGCCTGATATATTTCAACTGAAAACATAGCCTACCATTCAGTTTATTCTGACTTAGACCAGACCTTCACTTGGGAGTTTTGTTGGTATAAGAATGTCACTATACAATGGGTGCATCTACATGGGATGCTTTACTGCACTGTTGCCTAATTTACTGTACAATAAGCATACACATCTATATATGCATGTGCTTACTGTGCAGTAAAAATGCCTAATGGTGATTAAATTTGATACCTGCAAATGCAGGTAGCAGTTTAAGTATGATTAGTAACTGTACAGTAGTGCACATATAGATGCAACCCAGTAGCAAATTTGCTGCTGGGTCTGCCTAGTCATTAAAGGGCTGACCTGAGGCTTCTCCTGCTCCAGGACTGGGCTGCCTTTCTGGCATTTTGTGCCCTGGGGTACACATCACAGGCATCCTGAGGGCAGTGTAGGCACTGTGTGTCCCCTGGGCAGGCCACAGCTGAGCTGTGCCTTTCTTTCTGGAGCCCTACACTACTGCTTGCCCCTCCAATGTCTTCCAGCTGCCAAGGCATTGCTGTCAGGCCAGGTGGGTGCGAGGCAGTTGCCTGAAGGTTGCTGTGCCCCTGGCCAGTCTGTCAGAACCCCAGGGCTGCCTGCAAACTGCTTCTCACAGAAGGGCCAGGACCACCTGCCTGCTACAGACCCAGCAGCCTCCCCTGTGCCTGCAGCTGCAGGGCATAGCCTCTGATGTGTGGCTTCCAGTCCCATGCCGTGCCCCTGTGCTGGCCACTGCTGGCAGCTGCCCAAGGCTGGCAACAATGGGACAGCCACACAGGGGCCCAGAGAGCTGGCATGGCATCTATGATGGCCTCATCCTCCTTGTGCAGGCCCGGCACCACCTGAGTGCACACACTCAAGCCCTCCACATGGAGCTCCAACTGCAGCCCTGACCCCTGGGGTGACATGTCAGTGGACGAGGGACCTTCAGGCGTTCAGCGTCCTGTCCCACTGAGCTCTCTGGCTGTGCAGTCCACCAGCAGTTCAAGGTGTCTGGTCAGTGCCTGCCTCGACAGCTGCATAGCCCCAGACTCTGCCATGAGGAATGGCCAGGCATGTCACCACTGGCCACCAGCAGTGCAAGCTCCTTCACAGAGGGGGCCCCCTGCTGGGTGCCTGCACATTATGTACCATGGGACCAGGATATTGGGCACAGCTGGACACAGCTGAGCCTCCAGCCTTGCCAGCCATGGACACATGATAAGCCCCAAAATGGGGGGGAGGGCCCTCCCCACCTCACCCCAGTTCCCATTCTGGCCCCAGCCTTAGCCCTTGTCCTCACTCCCTGTCTGGCCTGCCCACACTCCCCTGGCCCTGGGTCCCCTGCCCCCCCCCCCCCAGCATGCAGAGAGGGGGAA